ATCTCTTTGGGCCTCAATTTCTCCCATCTGAATGTGGGGACTGGTGTGAGACCTGCCTTCTAGGGTTGCTGAGTTGTGGAGTATCTGGTGTGGATAAGCATTTATTGATGTCAGTGTAAACAGGAGGTCAGGCCCTTCCTGCCTCAGCTTCCACAGCAGGCCCCAAATCAGCAAAGGCTGACTTTCAAAGGAAATCTTTCAGGGCCTGCTCTACCCACCTGTTAGAAGACTCTCCTGCAGCAGGTAACAAAACACCAGCGGGCGGCTGGGGATGTGGCTCAAGCGGTAGCACGCTTGCTTGGCATGCGTGCGGCCCGGGTTCAATCCTCAGCGCCACATACAAACACCATCTTTAATTTTATGTTTGAATTCTGACCCACATCATTAGCTACCTAATATGTTCTGTAGATCTGATTGCTATGATTTCGCTGAGGAGAGGTGTGCACTTGGTGAGTTCTGGGGTCTGGGTCATTTTTTATTTTTTCTGGAGCTGTGTGTGCCTTTCTTGCCCAGGCAGGCTGCTTGAGGGAGATGAAGCTGGACGAGCGGGTGGCCCCAATGCCAGTCGGGCCGTGCTTCACTGGCTTGTAGGTGCTGGAGAACTCGTCCAGGTAAGGTCTGTTCATCTCAGCCTTGATCTCCACCTGGCTGAAGGTCTGGCTATTGTAGACACCAACCCTGCTGCCCACCATTTCAGGCAAAATTACCACGTGCCGCAGGTGTGTCTTCATCGCCTCTGGTTTCTCCCTGGGAGGCGCCTCCTTCTTGGCCTTGAGCAGGCGCTTTAGCTGCGAGTGCTGCTTCTAACTAGGCCCTGGTTCAGCAGCCGCCGCCAGTATGTCCTAAACAAGTGCAATTAAAACAAAAACTGCACACTTTCGCTTGTCCTGCAATTCCACCCAAGGTCCCCCCTCTTTGTTCTGCTGGCTTCCCCTTCTTATGTCCCCTTGTGCATTGGACTGTCTAAGAGTCACCATTTTAAATTAACTAGGCAGACTCTTGGCGGCTCAGACTACAGCGGATGGTATAATGATGTGAGTATTGTCATTGATCTCTCCAGGCACCCCGTCAGGACTGTCCCAGGTGTACGTGACCTTCATATGCTAGTGATTTTCAGAGCCACTCCTCCAAAGACCCAAATCCTGTCTTCCTCTGGGGTGCCCCTCCAGGGTGYTCTGAGATCCTACAGCTTTCCCCCTAATGAGCTGTATAGAGTCTTGACTGCCTTAGTAATAACTCCACTAAATCTCTCTGTTTTCTACCATCTCCTTTGAGGGCAGTGCACCCTGAATGCATTTCCTCTTTCCTGTGGTCTCTCTTTCCTGGACTTCCTGTCACCTGAGAACATGACGTCGTCTAAGATGCTGTCCTGGCTCCTGGGGAAATCTCTTCTTTAATGATTCCAAGTTTCCATTTTGCTTTTGTGGTGGTTTTATCAATAATCTTATAAATCTGTTTCAAATCTMTCATGTTTGAGTCCCCTTTCCTCCACTGATTAGCTGAGTGACAGTGGGAAAATGACACACACTTGCTTTGGTTCCCTCCTCTGCAAGATGGGGCACTGACTGACTGTTTTCAGCACCCATTGGAAAGCCCGGGACATAACAAACTACCTAAGGCTTCCTGTTACACATATTCTTCCTTTATTCCTACTCCGAAGGTTAGGAGGAAGCTGAACTTCCAACCACTGTTGAGTCTCATCTGTTCCCTTAGCAGATTTAAATTCCCTGTGACAGCGTTCTTCGACCATCCTCTAAGATTTTCAATAATTGTGTGATTGGATTCTTCTGTGTACCTGCTCTAATTCCCTTTGCCTCGAGAAACCTTTTCATTATGTTTTTCTTCAGCAGAAAGTGCCTGGCTGGTTGTTCTGTCACATGCCATCACAGACTCTAAATTACTCCTGTCAAGGAGCTCCCTGTAACTCATGGTTGTCTCTCTTTGATTTTTGTGGAGAAACTTGGAAATAGAAATTCTCCCCTGAAAATCCCTCAGGTCAGTCTTTCAGTGAGTATTTGTTCACTGACCAAAAGACTCAAAGCAGACACAGCCTTGTATTTGTTCTTACTCCCCTACCAGGTAACAGGGAGGTTGTGATCACTGGGATCTCAGAAAAGGTCCAGATAAGAGCAACAGCCATTGTGCAGCTCTGTGTATCATGGGGGACCCAGAGTGTGCGGCTGCCTCATTCAGAATACATTCTCTACATCTGAATTGAGCAAGCTGAGATGTTAGTAGGTTTTTTACTAATTCCAGATACATCTACTGGATATTATTAGTGAATAAATATAATAATGTAGTGTGATGATCAAAGGACATACCTTTTCTTTTTTTTTAATTAATTTTTTAAAAATTTATATATGACAGCAGAATGCATTACAAATCTTATTACACATATAGGGCACATTGTTTCATATCTCTGGTTGTAGACATAGTATATTCACACCAATTCATAGGACACATCTTTTCTATGTGAGCAAGAATTAGACTTCTGTATCATATTTTTTTCAAAAGGAGCATTATTGAATTTCTACTTATGTGTCCAAGAATCAGCCTCATCAAAAGCTAATGACTCTCTTGGAGAGTCACTCAGAGACATCAGAAACTGTTTTTAAGAGCACAGGATCCAGTAGGAAAAGGGCAAAGACTGGATAGACGTACAGGATCTGGGAGGTTTCAGGGGGGCTCTATATTGACTGGTCCAGGGGAAGCCGCTCACCATCAGAGAATTGTTCTCACATTCTGAGTCTAAGGAGCCTTCAGGCAGTGGTGGGCTCAGCTCAGGCAGGACAGACACAAATGGATCCCTGCATTTTCAGGACAGGTAGCACACAGCTAAAATGCTACAATGCATGCTTTACCCATATTTGAGATATCTCTAAGTGTCTTGAAAAATCCCTTCAGAAATGTTAATTCAAAATTAGTACTAAGAAAGAAATGTCCAAAATCACAGTAAAGAGCTTTCTTTTAAAATCAAGAAAACTACTATACTACCAAAAGCACTATACGTATTTAATRCAATTCCAATCAAAATCCCAATGACATTCCACATAGAAATAGAAAAAGCAGTCATGAAATTCATCTGGAAAAATAAGAGACCCAGAATAGTTAAAGCAATCCTCAGCAAGAAGAGTGAAACCAGTGGCATCACTATATAAGATCTTAAACTATACTGCAGAGCAATAGTAACAAAAACAGCATGGTATTGGAACCAAAATACACTTGTAGACCAATGGTACAGAATAGAGGACACAGAGGCTAACCCACATACATAGACTTATCTTATATTAGACAAAGGCAGCAAAAACATATATTGGAGGAAAGATAGCCTCTTCAACAAATGGTGCTGGGAAAACTGGAAATCCATGTGCAACAAAATAAAATTAAACCCCATCTCTCTCACTATGCACAAAACTCAACTCAAAGTGGATCAAGGGCCTAGGAATTAAACCAGAGACCCTGCACCTAATAGAAGAAAAAGTAGGTCCAAATCTCCATCATGTTGTATTAAGTCCCTACTTCCTTAATAAGACTCCTATAGTGCCAGAATTAAAATCAAGAATCAATAAATGAGATGGATTCAAACTCAAAATCTTCTTCTCAGCAAAAGAAACAATCAGTGAGGTGAATAGAGAGCCTACAGAATGGGAGCAAATTTTTACCACATGCACATCAGATAGAGCACTAATCTCTAGGATATATAAAGTAAATCTTAACAAAACAAAACAAAACAAATGACCCAATCAACAAACAGGCCAAGGGACACAACAGACACTTCTCAGAAGATGATTTACAGTCAATCAACAAATACATGAAAAAACATTCAACATCTCTAGCAATTAGAGAAATACAAATCAAAACTACTGTAAGATTTCATCTCACTTCAGTCAGAATGGCAGCTATTAAGAATACAAACAACAATAAGTGTTGGCAAGGGTGTGAGGGAAAAGAGCACACTCTTACATTGTTTGTGGGACTGCAAATTGGTGCAACCAATCTGGAAAGCAGTATGGAGAATCCTTGGAAAACTGGGAATGGAACCACCATTTGACCCAGCTACCCCATTCCTCAGTTTATACCCAAAGAACTTTAAAAACAGCATACTACAGTGACATAGACACATCAATGGCTATAGCAGCACAATTTGCATTAGCTAAATTGTGGATCTATCCTAGATAACATTCAGTAGATGAATGGATAAAGAAAAAATTGTATATATACACAGTGGAATATTACTCAGCATTAAAAGAAAATAAAATCATTGCATTTTGGGGTAAATGGATTGAGTTGGAGAATATAATGAAGTAAGCCAATCCCCAAAACCAAATGCCAAACTTCTCTGATATAAGGATGCCGATTCATAATAGGGACTTCGGGGGGGGGGCATGGGAGGAATAGACAAACTTTAGATAGGACAAAAGGGAAGGAGGAGAAGGGATGGGGCAGGGGGCTAGGAAAGATGGTGGAATAAGATGGACATCATTACCCTAAATACATGTATAAAGACACAAATGGTGTGACTCTACTTTGTGTTCAACCAGAGACATGAAAAATTGTGCTCTACATGTGTAAAATGAATTGAATTGCATTCTGCTGTCATATATAACTAATTAGAATAAATTTTTAAAAGAAAGTAAAACAAAACAAAAAGGAATCAAGACAACCCATGGGGAGGAGGGACCTGTTACAGCTTGGGATGAGGAGAGAATGAAGAGGCAGAGTGGAGGGGGAGACACAGCCCTTGTTAGGGTCTCCCATACCTACCTGGGGTGCACATGCAGGAAGGCAGGTTGCCAACCCTGTGGGTACTAAAGTTTTCCCTGACATGTGAGCTTTGAGCCCACAGACGATTTTCATGGCTTCCCTCCAACCTACTGGGATCCCTCCAGCAATATTTCCTGCCCAAGATTTCAGGGTTGACACCTTTTCATTCTCTGTCTTTGTCATGTCCCAGGTTGATTTGGTCCTTATGTAGAGGGAGGGGCAGGGTAGAATTTTTCTCAGATCTGCTGGGGCTGGAGGGAGAAGGAGAAGCGCCAGGGTTTCTGCACCTGCAGAGGACGATCCTGCAGTGCTGTGGTTGAGCTGCTGGCACAGAGGTACACGGCTGAGTCCTTGGGTTCTGTGGGTTGGATCTTGAGAGTGGAAGAGGAGGCACTGGGCATCTCGGCTGAGAACCGGTCCTTGGGCATTCCCTTGTCATCTACAACAGATCTGCTGCTGAAATAAATGAGAAACTCCAGCTCCTTCCCCGCAGTCTGTCTGTACCAGAAAAGATGAGTGTGGCCTGATATGGGCTCACATCTCAGCGTGACAGCTTGTCTTTTCTCTGTCACCTCATGCCTGGGTGTCTGGATGACCCCAGCGTCTGTGTGCTCTGTAAAAAAAGACAAAACTGGGGGAGAGAATAAGGAAAATATACAGAGTTATCATTAGGGGGGCCCAGCAGGATGAAGCTGAATATTCTGAGACTTACTTGGCACTAGGACACACAGGGCCACACAGTACAGGGTGTGGGTGCCCATAGCAGGGTGACAGCAGATGCAGAGGATCCAGAGGGCCTTTGTGAGCAGGACCAAGGAAGTAAACCTTGGGACAGTTTATTCTCACAAGGTGCATCTACCATGACATCATCAAGTGAGCCACCGCCCCCAGCTTGAGAGCTCCTTTCAGAGAAGGTGGCACCTCTGGGAGACGAGTGGAGCTGGTCTCAAGTGTAAATGACCTGAGATACAGATGGACACATCTGGAATCCTCCTGCAGCTTTGATTGACATTATTAATTTTTAATGTGTTCTCCACAGCATCCCTCACCTAAGAGGCTGCAAACTCTTTGAATCTGTACCTCAAATTCCAAGCTCTTAAACATGAATTCCTTGTCTTACTGCAAACCAGCTTCTCCCCAAACATCCACATTCCCCTCACTGATGGCTGGATGTCCCAGTCATACATTTACACCCAAATCACCCTCAGCTGGGAAGGAGTTGACCTGTGAGCTCTCCAGGAAGAGCAAGATGCCAACTCACTGTGAGGGCAACAGGGGCTGGATGGATGTCCTGAGAACTGATGAGATTGGACGGCTCTTCTTCACAGTGAAAGAATCTGTGTGTGCATTTGTGCTTGAGCTGTCTGAAGTTCCCACAGCCTATAGCACACGCTCCCCACGCTCTTTATACCCGTGCTGACCAAGCAGAGATTGTCTTGTTCTTCGGGCTTCATGAAAGAAATGCTCCAGATTGACTTACATTCTATACTTAACCCCTAGAAAAGCTCATTTATTTTAATCATTAATACCTGGTCCTTTTCCTATAAAAGAACCTGCCCCACCAATCCACTTCCTCTTGGCACACAGGCTATGGAGAGCTGAAAGAGGTTTTTGTTTCTTGGAGTGATAGATTAAGTTATTTGCTAACAAATAAGTTCCAATTGCATTGTTCACACAGAGACACATGACTGAGTCCCCTACATCTGAGAGCCAATTTTTAATAGCAAACAGTCAACAGTTTGGTTGGTGTCATCAAAGACACCTGTTTCCCTAGAAGGCACCATTTTGCTGCAGTATCTCTTGAACCCAAAATGTAAAACCGAGGTCATCCTTATTTTCAAAAAGACCATCATATGTTCCTTCCATTACCAGGTGCCTAGATGTGATAGGTCAGATAATGTCCCTCCACAGATGTGCAGGTTTAGTCTCTGGAGCTCGTGAATGTGTTAAATTCATAGCATGTGGGGAACTGAAGTTCTCCATGGAATTTAGATGGGTAAAAGCTGTCTTTAATGTAGGGAGATTACACTGGAATTTCCGGGTAGGCTTGATGTAATCACAAGGGTCCTACAATATGGAAGGACAAGAAAGAAGAGTCAGAGCAAGGCAGCCACTGTCGACTTTGAAAATGAGTCAAGGTGCGGGTGGCCTCTAGTAACAGAAAAAGACAAGAAAACATCCTCTTCCTGAATCTCCAGAAGGAGTGCGGCCCTGCCTATAACTTGATTTTAATGCAGTTATGCCCATTTTGGAACTCTGGCCTCCAGAACTATAAGAGAATACATTTGTGTTGCTTTAAACGTGCAAGTTAGTGATACTTCATTACAACACCAATGAAAATCTCAACATTGTAGTAACCGAGGGAGTCGTGGGTGAAAGTCAGAGGTACATGCAAAACACAGGCGTGAGGCAGAGGCACAATCACATGGAGAGAACTTGAACCTAAGTCCAAAGGAAGCCAGGCAAAATAATTATTTTCTCAGACCTCACCTGCTTCCGGGAGTCACACAGGAGACTGGAATGAAATACGAGGGCAGCTGTAGATTGTGTGAGAAGACTCTACCGTTCAGACCTGCCTCATGAGCAGACTTGCTGGTGGCAACATTGTAACTGTCAGCTCCCTGAAGCCAGGGCCCATTTCTCCCGCTCCGCCCTCTACGTTCCACAGAGCAGGTGGGACTGCCAGGCCTGGGTTGAGGTCAGGTTCTCTAAGGTTCTCTGACACACAAACAGCCGCTCCACTTTCCCAAACAGAATTCTAAAGCTGCAGCACCCAACTCCTCCTGCTTTCTCATTTTAAGTAAGCTCAGAGGTCTCCCCTGTAAACCCACTCAAAGCTCAGTTCAAAGCTCAATTCAGGGAAAAACCCATCTCCACAAAAACAGGGAAGAGGGTGGTTCTCTAATTCCTTTCTTCTCAATCATCATTCAAGACATCTGCAAACAAACTCCTGGAATCTAGGCCTGATCCCAGGATTTCCTTGAATTATTCACTTCCAGGTTCTCCCCATAGACTCTGAATTACAGTGGAGCCGCAGTGCCTCCTGGTGGCCAGGAGCAGAAACGCAAAACTTTTCTGTCTTGCCAGCACACAGGGAGCTGTGAGTTCTTGATTTACTACAGGAGATAAAGGATTTTATGATTTTGGAGTCTTAGATGTTGAGCAAAACATTAATGGTATTCTGACCAAACATGGAGCCACCTTAAGACAAATATTGGAGTCAGATAGGTGGAGACTTGGTCAGTTTTAATATTGCTGAACAACAGGGCTCAGATATGAGATGATGTGGTCCACCTAACATTATGCTGAATTAAAATTTAACCCATTCTCTCTCCCCTCCAAACTGCTGGCCAATGTTGAAATGGGAAAGAAAGTTCACCACTGATTTAGTTAGTGCATGTTGAAAAAGCAGCACAGAATCTACCTTTTCTCTAGGTAGTAAGGAAGATCATGAAAGACTCAACAAAGAAGATATTGAACAAGTGACTTATTTCCTCCCAGTAGAGAAGATGGGGAAAGGGACAGGAAGATGTCGACTGCAGCTGTGCTTTAGGGAAATCCTCCAAAAGGGGAATGTGGACAGATGCTGTCCCAGGAGACTGACCGAAAGTAGACAAGGACATGAGATATAGCCACAAGGTACTCCCTTAAATTCTAACCTCTGCCCCTTGGGTTTATTTGTGAAACCCAGCAGGAGTGTGTCTCAACAGCATAGAAATCCAATGGATTCCATGCTCTCTCTGCACTGTCACCAAGTCTGTTATGGGCCAAGCTATATGTACAATGACCAAACGGACTCCAATTTACCCTGATCCTCCAGGTCATGGTAGAAGTGCTTCTCCCATGAGGAAATTCCTCCTCTGCAATTTTAATCCTGCTGAGCACACCCTGCTTAGAAACACAAACATTTCTGTTCTTCTTATACAATGTAGAATTGTTCTCTTTTTGGATCCCATTTTTCTTGGACAATGTACCCGGTCAGAGGATGTTTGTCTAGACATTAGTAACCATTCTTTAACTTGCACTCAACAAGGGTCGTTTTGACCCACTGCACCTTCTGCTTATGATTTTAGATCTCATGATGTTTGTTTATGGTTTGGGATCATAGCAACAGCCACTTATGATTAATGTGGTTTTGGACTATAAAGGTGTACTCAAACCCTTGAGGGGGGTGAAAAGAGTGGAGACTTGCAGCCTGCCTCTTGGTGCATAAATGTTCATTCTCCTGCTTTTGACTCAGTGATTTTTTGCAATCTCGCCATAGCAAGTCTAAGCTCTCACTTCCTCTTCTGTGTTACATCTCACTACAAGATCCAGTGGAGCATCAGAAGTTGTGCAATAAAAGTAAATAACAACATAAAAACATTCTGATAATAAAATGCCAAAACAAAATCATGTCCCAATTTAATTATAAATCTTTAAGAATTTAAAAAAAAATTACTGTGATTGAAATAAAAGTCTGGGTATAACATCCCCAAGCCATTATATTAAATATCAAAGAAGTCACAGAATAAAAATCTAATATTAAGATCTCAAATGAAACTGAAATTCCAAATAAAAGTCTTTAACCCCAATCCCAGTGATTATAGGGCACACACCCTTCCTATTGTCATCTACATAGTTGGGTAAAATAACAAAACAATTGAAAACATTTAATAAGTAATGTTCTAAAGATGTAGTGAGGAAACACAAGGCTGGGATCTTGGGGAGGAAAGAACCTGGCAGGTGAGCATAGCTCTCCCTTTTTCCTTGGGGACATTTAGTGCCCTGCACTCAGCCTTTATGGTAGGATCACAGGCCAGGGAGTTAAAATCAAACATCAGACTGTACCAAATGTGATCATTAACAAGCAGGAATAGTAACCATAGGCCAGAGTTAAACCTGTTTTCCAGGTGACCTGGAACAGCTCAGCCGTGAAGTCTGATTCAGGGAGCTCCAGAGTGTTTGTACCCTACACACGTCACAGAAGCAAATAACACTGGCTTTGGAGGACGATACACCCATCCTATGCCAAAAATTTAAATATATATATATATATATATATATATATATATATATATATTGCATGTATACATGTATATTCATACATGTATACATATATATGTATTTCTACAACTATAGTGTCAGGCACAACATGAAAGATAGTCAAATTCATAAAAAATACAAACACTGTGAAAATCTGACCACTGAACCAGAAGCAAAACAAAGAACCCATGAAGATCTCAGAGGTGAAAATGATGAGGCAGACTTGGAATCAACCATGTTTCCATGTTCAAGGAAGAAGAGCTGACCTACAAAAACCAAATGTGGGTATTAGTAATTATAAATGTGACAGAGCAGATTGGAACAACGACCAAATAAAAATTCTGGTAAAGAGAGAGTTCGTTTTCCATCACTACTGGGTTTTCCTAAATCAGGTTTTCATAAATGATTTATGAAAGTCTGTTATGGTCCATAACAGACTTGGTCTCTGTGTGGAGAGAGCAGTGGGCATCCATGATCCTGGTGGTTGCACTGGGTAAGGAGCAGGGGATGCAGGGGCTTCAGAGAATGCCCTCCCCATTCTGCATCCCACTCTGGGGGGCTGTCCCCCGAGGGCTTCCTGCAGGCTGCCCTCCCAGTCCCTGTAGCCATGCTTCACAATGATTTCTCTTGACCAGAGGATCCAGGCAGAAGTTAGAGCAGGGCATATGGAGCTAGACACAATCTTTGTGTATGATCAGAGAGGGCAGATGGATGAGGGCACTGGAATGCACAAGAA